AATAAACTGCTACTATTCATAATTCCGAAAATGTTTACTTTATCGTAAAAAGTCATGAGACTTTTTTTTGTTTGTTTTTTATCAAAGAATATAAAAAAAATTGACCAGTTTAAAAATAACAATTCCTTGCAATTGAAAAAAAAATCGGTTTAAACTATATGGCACGGAGTTGCGCCATGGCAACATGCATTTATATCATCGGCAGGACAACTTGATGAGAATCGCAAAAAAATGAGATCGAACAGTTTTGGTACTCATGCGCCGGTTCCTTCTGGGCTATAAGAACATTTTCTTCCTTTTTCTTTCGCAGATTCTTTCAAACTCTGAGTTTATTTCAGCTTTTTCAGCTGTATCCTTAGCTGCAATGAGAGCCTTTGTTAATCCTTCGTCTCTAGGTATATTCTTTTCTGTCCATCAGTTTTATAGCAGCTGATAAAGCAGCACATGCGTGCAAGCAGAGCGCATAGACGCTCTGCTTGCATGCATGACAAGATTAACATGGAATAAAACGTCGTCCCAAATGACAAAAGACAGCAAAAACTCGAACGTCTTAAAATTGGCTGCAAGTGATTTAGCTTCCAAACTTGCCACGGGATCAGTTGTGACGATACTCTTCTTCCAAGGCACTATTTATGTCGGCGTACTGATACCGCACCGCTTGCAAGCTGTTGACTCTACTATCGCATCTTGTTTGACACACCTTCTTTAAAGTTAAGCTCTTCACATATTTTGAAATAACTTCCCATCTTTTTGTTTAGTTTGTAAAAAATATAAAATAAGCGCTGAAGAATGCCGCGCTCGTCTCAACAAATAAGGCCATACGCACATATACCAACTAGCCACACGTTCGAAATCAAAATATTGAAAAAAAAAAAAAAATAAACTCAGGCATATGAGCAAAGAAATGGAACAGAGACTAAGCTTCTAAGGAGCGTGCAAAATTTTTACCTAAATAAGCTAAAAGATTTTATTTTTCTATTATGTAGGTAGCTATGCTATTATAAAAAAATTCACTAAGGCGCCTCCTGGGACTTGGCGCCTGGAGCGGCCGCTCCGTTCGCCTTGTGGTAAGGCAGGCCTTGGCGAGAGGACCTGCCGCACCATAGCCATGGACGCACCGATGGCCTCGTGCATGGTCAGACCGTCACTGACACCCGTGCCCCCGTCACCATCCCCTTGAGCCCACTCTTGGACGCATAATGAACATTATCGGGGAGTCAACTGGTGAGAATTTTCGTGTGAACCTATTAATTATTCTGATCTTAATGATCCGAGCCGTGGTAGCTCAGATGGTTAGCGCTCGCTGTAAGCTTCACAGCATTCGAGCAACCCGGGTTCGATCCCCGCCAGCACCAATGAAATTGCTGATTTACCACGTGCTCGGCGGTGAAGGTAAACATCGTGAGGAAACCTGCATTTCTGAGAAACACGCATTAGGGCAGCGCGGTGGACAATTCCTTGTCCTAAAACCCTCTCAGAAACGATAGGAGGCCTGTACCCAGCAGTGGGACGTAAATAGGCTGCGACTTTACTTTACTAATGTACTCCAGAGCGATTTTCTGTCACGGGGGCCAATCTTAACGGAGACTAGACATCTGCGCAGGACAGGATTATAGTAAACGAATGTGTGCGCAAGCATATGTGTACTCTTTATTCCCTCACTCTTATAGTCCGTTGGGACAGTAATCCGAAAAGACCGGAGAGAGTTCAGGCGCAGGACCAACGCCTTCAAGTGCTTTTTGAGGCACGGGGATGGAACACCGCCAACTTCCTGAATTCGGAGACATATGCATAGAGAGAACTGGAGAGAACCTCCAATTCTACTTATATTGAGTGAATATACTTGTCTCGCTTTTTCTAATTTAATATTAAAATAAGGCAAAAAGAGACAAATGTATTGAAAGATGTTGCGTGTAATTCGTACGTGGAAATAGCAATGTCAAGTGGACATTTGGTTTCTTTATTCTATGCCAAATATCAGAGTAAATACACTTGTATCTTCTGATTTAATAGAAAAATGACATCCTTGTTGTTGTATGTTTAATATTATGTGTGACGTTTCGTTACGAGACATGACGTCTTTAATCTATAGTGATTTCGTTCACAATGTTACCATACCATCGACATCAATATACTATTTTATTATATGTATAAAAATATAAAGAAAATAGGAATAGACATATTATTATTCGAACTATGAAGTAAATTGTTTTCTAAATCAAGTGATGATTATTATATTACATTGCAAATATTCATTTTGCAAACTTTATAGTCTTGACATATACATGGTACCATAAGAGAGTTGAATCCAACTAACTAAATAATCTATGATCTACTAAGAAACCGGCTGGAGGCTGATAAAGCTGCGATATTTACTTTTCATTAAATATGAAGCACCAATTTTTAATTTTGATTATAAAAAAATATGTTTTTGAATGTAACTTAAATCAAAATTTTATGAATAAATAAAAATTATCATCTTCCATTTAATTACTCGGCTAAAGAGTAGTTTTTATCTAAAGTCACAAATTCTACATCCGCAAGAACCCTGGTTCGTAATCGATTTATTGGTAAATGTATCTATGGTGCGACAAAAGAGAAGACATGCCGCGATCATGCCGCTGTTATTGTACTAGCACTCGTAGCAGTGCCCTCTGTGTACGTTCCGTGAAGTAAACCTAGTGTCGATTACACCAACACAGTTATTATTCCCTGTGAAACCCATGATAAGTCTAAGAATAATTTGGCGGAAATATATCTGTGCCGGACGGGCGTAACTTTCCGGAGTAAATGTTGTCGAAGATACTCCGCGAGTCGCTCACGTCCTACACCTATAGGTTCCGGAGGATACTTTCACTGCCGTCGCTGTGTGTGCTGCTGGAAAACTGGACTGAGGTTCAAAATTAAAATGCACGATTTATAAATTAAAATAACAAGGGAGTGGCCAGCGGTTCGACTGAGTGATTAGTCGTGAAATTTTATAACTATTATTTATTGACCACGGCTGTTGAACACGGTTATTCAACTACGGTTGTTCACTATCGGTTGGTCACTATATATTTCAACAGATTTAATTAAAATGCGCGGTAGTATTAAGATTTCTATTGGTTTTAAAATATCTATTGGTATTTTCAAAATATCTATTGGTAATATCAAATATCTATTGGTAGTATTAAATATCTATTGGTAGTATCAAAATATCTATTGGTAGTAACCAAATATCTATTGGTAGTAGCTGCTTTTCTAACACTACTGACTAGCAGCTATTAATCAACTAAATTTAGTTGAATTTATCACGTGTAACTGCGAATATCAGTTACCACCTTTTCCGTCTAGCTAACACTTTTCAATATATGTAACGGCGAATTTTCAGTTACCAACTTTTTCGGCTAGCTAACACTTTTTTACTATATGTATCTGCGAATTTTCAGTTACCACTTTTATCGGCTGGCTAACACTTTTTTACTATATGCAACTGCGAATTTTCAGTTACCACTTTTTCCGGCTAGCTAACACTTTTTTACTATATGCAACTGCGAATTTTCAGTTACCACTTTTTTCGGCTATGTGTAACTGCGATTTTCAGTTACGACCTTTTTCGGCTAGCTAAACTTTTTCTAATTCACTACTATTGTCCACTATGTTCTGCTACTAGTCACTTCAGCTACTACCGGATACTACTGCTTGTCACTGGTAGTTCTTCCTACTACAACGTTACTGGGATTCGCCCCCATAAGGTTGACTTCGGCTATACTGTATGCCGCTTGCCATTTTCCGGTTTTGCCTCTTTATTTTTAAACATTTTCATTATGTAATTAGCACAAATCGCAATATTTTCTATACAAGGCTAATTTTTACATTAACACGCTATACATCATTAAATAGGCATTTTGGTCCCTTATCAGTATGTGATAAAGGTTAATCAATACATTAATATTTAAAAAAGTTATTAAACGAAATGTACCAAATTTTCATAACAAATGTGTACATTAAATCTTTAATTTTTCTATAACTACCAAATGCGCTTAATTATACAAAATATTTCTTTACTATCGCAATCTATATATCATACGCTAACTAAATATCATATTTACAACTCTTTTAGAACACAAAAATATTCTCATTATTTTCAATACAAACTATTGCGCAGTTAATTAAACTTCCAGAAAGTTCTACGATATGACGCGCTGTGATTGGTTGATTTTTTCTTAAATGCTTAAAGTTGTTTATATCAACTATTATTAAAACGACATTCTATACAAATATATTAAGAGTTGTAAACACACTGTAAAACCATATTAATACACAATTTGTTCGAATTCGTTGCTAATTTCACTTTTTATACAAAATAATATTCTTTCATCACTTTTTGCTCAAAGTCTTTAGGCCGTCGCGAACAATATCAGATGAATTTAAGTAGATTTGTACGTGGTAGAGCCATGCTGCAGCTATATTACTGGTATAGTTGTAGCACGAATGGGTCGACGCGACCGGGGAACCACGCTCTCACAGAATACCAGCATAAAATAGCAGCTTAATCCTGCTGTGTTTCGTATGGTGAGTGTAGAGAATTGGAGACCCTTTTTACTGGAAAAGAGGCATTCCATCATAGTCCCCACGGGTGACAACGCATCTGCATTTTGATTCGCAAGCGAGGATAAATGTAGATGTCTATGGGCCACAGCAACCACTTACCAATTACCATCAGGTGGACTGCGTGCTCGTTTGTTACCCTATCCTATAAAAAAAATTAGAAATCTTGTCTTAATAAAATTTAGGATATTCTTGGGAACGTTTCCGGATTGAACGACATAATATCATATATTTTCTTTCATATCTGTACTTCGTATGTCCATTTTTTTAAAGTAATTAAACACTTGTTCAAAATATTAATTTATTAATAATTTTGCAACTTTAATGCCTCAAAAATAGCAAACAGATTACGATTCGTCACCAGTCTCCTTCTAGAAGGTTGCTAGAAATACTCAAAAGATGCTAAACTATATGCTCTTAGCCATTTCTTGAGATTTCGCAATAACGTCTTCTATGGTGCCCACCATGTAGAAGGCCCCTTCAGGGATGTGGTCCAGTTCGCCTTTGAGGATCTGGAAAGTTGGTAAATATATCAGCCTTTTGCTTCTAATTAGGATCTACTGTGTTACACACATTGTGTGTAAACGATGGGAGACGGAATCAATATTTTAGGTAAATATCCAGATAATTGATACGCTTAACGTGGTTTTAGCGTGATGAAGTAAAACGCGTGTTTTAATTGCATTTTGTAAAATTTTGCAGTTAATGAGAAAAAAAAGTTAGTGAGAGATGTGTGTACTGCAGTGGGCTAGGATGAAAACCTAAAATTGATAAATTTCACACACACACACACGCACGCACGCACGCACGCACGCACGCACGCACGCACTCACGCACGCACGCACAAGTAGATCAAACTTATTTAAACACATATAAGAATTTAACAGATTATATGTTATAGATATTTATGTGTCAGATGAGCCCAAGCAATGTCGCTTTACTTTTGTTTTAAAAATAGTTGTATTGAGATTAGTTAATAAATAAATCTTACGTTCAACTCAGAATAGGAAAGTTTTAAAACTGTAATTGCTTTAAGATATGGTGAAGCAACAGTTAAAAGTGAGTGAAGAGATCAAGGAAAGAGCACCATGTATTGAATTGTTAATTCCTTTCTTTTCAGAACACGCATACGACGCGCACCGGAATAGGATACTGAGTTCGAGCTACGAGGTAATGTTTTGAAAATGATAACGATATATCGATATTTATCACGTGATATATATCGATACTGTTTAAAAATATCGATTCGATATATACCGATATACCTAGTCAGGTCATAAGTATTGTCACACAGTAAAAACTTTTCTTTTAGAATGCTGGCCACAAAAAAGTTTATTGAATTCGAATTTCGAATTGTTCATGAAAATAAAACTGTATACTTTTTAGAATTTTACTCATTTTTAAATATGGAGTGGACGCTTAAAGAAGACAGTGTTGCAGTTATTGCGTTGCATCGTTGCGGTTACGCGCCAATTCAAATTTTTGACATACTAAAAAATTTGAATATAACCAAAAGATTCGTTTATCGTACCATCAAACGATACAATGAATACTCTAGTGTAGATGACAGGTCAAGAAGTGGTCGCCCTCGGTCTGTTAGGACTCCAGCAGTGATAAAAGCTGTGAAGGCGCGAATTCAAAGAAATCCCAAACGTAAGCAGAAACTGTTGGCCCTTCAGATGGGGTTAAGCAGAACCACGGTGAAAAGGGTGTTAAATGAAGACTTAGGGCTTCGGGCATATCGAAGAAAAACAGGACATCGTTTGAATGCTCGTCTAATGGACCTGAGATTGAAGAGATGCCGCGCTTTGTTGAAGCGGTACGCGGGAAAAATATGTCGGGAAATTCTTTTTTGGGAAAAAATTTTTGCCGTAGAAGAGAGTTACAACAAACAAAATGATAAGGTGTACGCACACAGTAGTGAAGAAGCGAGCAACCGTATTCCGCGTGTCCAACGAGGTCATTTACCATCCTCGCTCATGGTATGGTTGGGAGTTTCTTATTGGGGCTTAACAGAGGTACATTTTTGTGAGAAAGGTGTAAAAACGAATGCAGTTGTGTATCAAAATACAGTCCTGACGAACCTTGTGGAACCTGTTTCTCATACCATGTTCAATAACAGGCACTGGGTATTCCAACAAGATTCGGCGCCAGCTCATAGAGCGAAGAGCACACAAGACTGGCTGGCGGCGCGTGAAATCGACTTCATCCAGCACGAAGACTGGCCCTCCTGCAGTCCAGATTTGAATCCGTTAGATTACAAGATATGGCAACACTTGGAGAAAAAGGCGTGCTCAAAGCCTCATCCCAATTTGGAGTCACTCAAGACATCCTTGATTAAGGCAGCCGCCGATATTGACATGGACCTCGTTCGTGCTGCGATAGACGACTGGCCGCGCAGATTGAAGGCATGTATTCAAAATCACGGAGGCCATTTTGAATAAACTTTACTGTCATAAGAATCTATGTTTTGTTAAGTTCATTTTGGTATATAAATGGTTACATAAGGAATAAACTTGTTTCAATTATTTTATATTAAACATGTGACAGAAATTATGACCTGACTAGGTATTTTTTCTCTTGCCCATCCCTAGTTAGAGCTACGAGCTACTGTTTTTCCGTACCGACACCAGTCTGAACACAGGCACGCAACGCTGCGCTATAGGGACAGAAAACAGAAACGGAAGACAGAAAACAAACAATACTTATTGAAAGTCACTCTTTTGTTAACCACGACGCAAACAGAGAGGTGTTATAAGTTTGACCGCTGTGTGTGTCTGTCTGTCTGTGTCTGTCTGTAGCACCGTAGCTCTTAAACGGGTGAACCGATTTGGATGTGGGTTTTTTTTATTTAAAAGCAAGTTTTCTAGCGATGGTTCTTGCACATGTTTTATCAAAATCGGTTTATCAAAGGATAAACCGGAAGATCAACAGCTCTTTTTGTTTCGGGAGGGGGGGTTCAAAATGTTATTTTTAAGTTAATTCATTTAACACTGGTTCGGAAAACACCTGGGAAAAACCAGCAAGAAACCCAACGTGACTTTTTTTTTAAATAATAAAAGTCTCAAAGAAACAGCTAACAATCATACAATATTTAGTTATACCATTAACAGCACAAAACAAATTAGAAATAGCTTGGTAGCGATCACCTTCTTCCCAGGGATTATTATCGTACATAAATTCCTTAATATTTTATTAACCATTTTTATACAAACTTTGTTTAAACATTTTTTTGAACTTTTTGATATTGTCATGATCGTCTAAAACCATATCTCACCCGTTGAAAACCCTTGATTGTGTCCTCCAGTTTCACCAACTTGCCCACGTGGCCAGTGAACACTTCAGCCACCTGGGAATAAAATTACTATATTAAATATCGACCAAGTCTGCACAATAATAATGTTCTTACAAAATGAAGTTTATAATTTTAAACGTGGTAGAGCAAAGTTGCAGTATCGTTTATAGCACAAATAGATCGGGTCGGCCGGGGAAGGACCACGCTCTCACAGAATACCAGCGTAAATTTGCTGCTTTGCAAAGTTTGAGTTTCGTATGGTGATTGTAGAGAAACGGAGACAACTTTACTGGAAACGAGGCTACCCATCTTAATCCTCAGGGGTGACAACGCAACAGCATTTTGATTCGTAATCGAGGATAAATGTTTGGCGACGCTGTCACCGTGCCATAAGCGAAAATACATCGAAACCTAAGTCGTGCTAACAAAGTTCCGAAGTAAAAGCAGTATATATAGAATAGCTCCGAACTATCACTCTGAGCGTTGACCGCTCCCCGCTCGCTTCCTTGTAATGGAAAAGGGGCCACAGTGGTGACCCCGACGTGATGTTTATGGGCCACAGCATCCACTTACTATCAGGTGGACAGTGTGCTCGGAAGCTACAACTGGAGCGAGCCATGTTGAACATTAGACTAGATTTAGACTTTCTCAAAGTTTTGAAAACTCAAGGAAAAACCTTTGTGAAAAACAAACAGACATCGAGGTGTTTGCATGTGTTGTGTTGCGTTTTGATGACTTTGGAACGGAGAACTAACAAGGATTACGTATTAAGTTATGTATGCAATTGTCTCCTGCAGTGTCTCCATGCAGTGGCGACGTAAGACAGCCCACTACGCCAGATCGTCCCGTGGGTTGCGTAAGAGGCGACAGAGAGAACTGGATTAGGGAATGGGGAGCAGCATCTTCCTGATGACAACTCAAAATATTAAAAACTGCGGTTGCCAACGCGTTTACCAAGTGCGACAACTGTGGCAAATATCTACCCTATGAGGTAATCTGAAATTGATATGTGGTAGGAGCGAAGGAGAACCTAACCCAACACTCCATTTCGTTCCGTGGGTGTCGTAAGAGGCGACTGTAGAAAACCAGGAAGGTCTTCATAGCATAGAATCATTTTTATTCCATACTAGCGACCCGCTCCGGCTTCGCACAGGTGATTCCTGGATCTCGACAACAGCGCCACCTGCCGGGTCCAATTGTGAAGCTAAATTATCCAGGCACTCGCTCGAATGCACACAAAAAGTTTCATCAAAATAGGTTAGAGCCGAGACAGCAATTATCGTTATATCGTTGTAATACTTATTCAAAGTAATTTAAGTTTTACCACTGCGTCTGAAAACCGCCCCTTCTGGGAAGAACCAGCAAAAAACCCAGCGGGACTTTTCTTTCAATAAAATTAATTTACAATATATTAATTTATACAATTAGCACGATGTAATATCTAGCGATAGATCTAGGCGATGTAACTATCCTCTTTCTTTTCTCTTATCAATGCCACAGCGGGATTAATAAATGATTTCTCAAGAAAATCTAATGTTAAATTGATAAGAATCTAAAAAAAACCTGGAAAGGCTGTGAGAGGAAGCGCTGGATCTTCCTCGCGCGGGCCACTGTTAACTTGTCCTCTTCGGAGAGTTCGTCCATGCCTAAGATAGCGATAATGTCTTGCAAGGACTTGTAATCCTAGTACGAATAGAAAGTCTCTGTTTGTAGACGGTTATTTTACCTAATTTTGTATTTTGTATTAATCTATAGATACATATAATTAAAATTGAAGTGTCTGTAATATTGAAATAACGGACTTCCGTTTAGCTCAGCTGTTTATTTGCGCGCCATTAAAGCAACAATCAATTTTTTTTTTAATTTTTATCCGTCTGTCTGTTCGCGCTAATCTTCGAAACGACTGAACAAATTGCGATGGAACTTCACGAAGAGATACAGAGCAATGAGAGGAGTAATCTATGCTATATTTGACACGAAAAACTTGGATTTTTTTTTTGTAAATAAGAAAAATTTATTAAGAAAATGGTAGTTGACGATTGTGTTAATGCTTTATGATGACATAAATGACCTTGAGATATATTATACCACCCAGGCGAAACTGGGAGGGTGGCTAGCCTATACAAATCAGTAAAATTGAAGTGTCTGTTTGTAATGTCAAAATAAACAGCAGTTTACCAAATGCATATGAAAATATAAACGGTACTAATAACATAAAAAAAACAATTTAAAATTTTTGTCTGTCTGTTTGTTCGTTCCGGTTAATCTCTGAAACGGCTAGATCGATTTTAAAGGGACTTTCACTGACAGATAGCCGTGTTTCAATCAGTTTCAACGTGGACGTGTCAAGCTCAGTGATGATACCCGTCAAGGTCGTCCAAAAACTGCAGTCACCCAAGAGAACGTTGATGCTGTGCGTAAGCTGATAGAATATAATAACTTTTATTCAATATACGCTACAAGAATACATATTGAAAGTAATTTATGCTTTTATCACTAGTTCGGAAAAAACCTCTGTCCTGTGAAGAACCAGCAAGAAACCCAGCGGGACTTTTAAAAAAAGGCATAATTAATAATACGATATTTTATACAATTAATATAAAAAACATTTAGATACAGTCAGCCAGTCGTCCTGAGTGTGATCTTTCTCATATTTTAATTTAGTTTATTTTATTAAATATTAGCTTTTTAGCCGCGGCTTCGCTCGCGTGCGCTTAGGGTTACCATATCTCAGGATTTGTCCTGAGATTTCAGGATTTTTAGAACTTTCAATATAATACAGCTTGCATTTTAAAGATCTCTTTAATAAAAAGATAAACAAACTAAAAATAATTTTCCTTTGTTAATAATTCCACAATTAAAATCAAAACTTATTTATCCAAGTAGGTACTTAAACAGTTTTATCATACTTAATATATGAAGATACCTTTTTAAGTAAGGTTTTCTTCTCAAATTGTAAAAAAAATCTCAGGATTTTAAATGGAAATCGGGCCTCTTCTCCGGACTTTTAATTTTTTCATCTGGTAACCCTACGTGCGCTTGAATTTAGGAACATCATTAAATGCTGTTCCGTTCCAAATTTAGAAAAATTCAATCACTTTTAGAGTCACCTTGGTGTCTATGTCTATGTCTGTCAAAGATTTTTTTTTCATTCTAAAATACTGTTAGACGTAGAGGATTGGTATCATGCTACAGAAACACGTGAATATATATGTCTAGAAACACCTAGATACTATTTTTTATGATAATGAATACACAAGAAAGGCAAATAGTCTTGAAATCAAAACGTATTATTATTATTTACATTTTACTCTTATTACATTTATTCATAGTTAACTATGAATAAATGTAATATCTTATTTACATATTACATTTATTCATAGTTAAAGTTAGTTTAGTTTTAACAAAGTAATATAATGTTTATTTGAGACATTTTATTTATATCATTTGTCCTATTTAATATTGATTGGTACCATAAAACAGATGTAGATATTTTTTTAACTCCGAGTAAACGTGAAAATTTCATAAATATAGTTCTATTATAATAAATCTTCATTCAAATCTCTTTTATACGTGGTAGAGCCATGCTGCAGCTATATTAGTAGTATAGTTGTAGCACGAATGAGCCGGCTCGACCGGGGAAGGACCACGCTCTCACAGAATACCAGCGTCAAATAGCAGCTTAACGCTGCTGTGTATCGTATGGTGAGTGTAGAGAACTTGAGACCCTTTTTACTGGAAAAGAGACATTCCATCTTAGTCCTCACGGGTAACAACGCATCTGCATTTTGATTCGCAAATGAGGATAAATGTAGAGTGTGCTCTATTGTCACCCAATCATATAAAAAGAATACTACACATGGATTCCAACTAATGTTACGGGTTGTTTTTATGCATCTGGATGAAAGTTCCGAGTAATAGAACATATCGTTAATGTGAAGCACCGAAGCTCCGGGAATTCTAAAGTATATCAACATAGAATTAGTATCGTCCCAACCGTTATATCGGATCTGATATACAACAAATCCTACCAATGGTGAGAGGCGACATAGGAAAACAAACTGGAGATGGAATGGGCTGCATCATCTTCTTGACAATAGATCAAAATAATAATATCTGCGGTAGCCAACCCGCCTACCACGCGTGGCAACTATAGCAAATATCCAGCTACTTGACAATTTATGGTGGAGGCCTATGTTCATTTCAGTGGACTTTTGATAGACTGACGATAATACGTTCTTCTCATCTTTGCAAGCCTTCATATTTACGGCGAAGAGTTTCGGGGATATAACGTCACCCTGTCTTACACCTCTCTGCAGTTGGATAGGTTTCGTACTCTGATTCTGTACTCGGATAGCCATCGTAGCTCTACTGTACAAGCACTTCAGCACTTCGATATACCGACAGTAAACTTTGCACCGCTGAAGGGACTGCAGCACCTCCCAAATTTCGACGGAATCAAAGGCTTTCTCATAGTCCACATAAGCAAGGCAAAGTGGCACATTATACTCCTTTGTCTTCTGTACAATCTGCCGCAGAGTATGTATTTGGCCTATGGTACTAAAGCCTTTTTGGAAACCGTCTTGTTCGGGAGGCTGGAAGTCGTCAAGTCTGCGTGCGAGACGATTCGTAATGACTCTCGAAAACAGCATGTAGACGCGGCTCAGAAGGGAAATCGGTCTGTAGTTCTTCGAGAGAGCGTTGTCGCCTTTCTTGAAGAACATGACCACCGCACTTCTGCTGCACGCCTCCGGTGTAGTGCCACCATGGAGGACGGAATCAAAGAGCTTCTGAAGGACTTCAAGTACCGGTTTTACACCCTGCCTTTGCTTTCAGAAGCTCCGCTGTAATACACAAGAAACTCACAGAATACCAGCGTCAAATAGCAGCTTAACACTGCTGTGTTTCGTATGGTGAGTGTAGAGAACCGGAGACCCTTTTTACTGGAAAAGAGTCATTCTATCTTAGTCCTCACGGGTGACAACGCATCTGCATTTTGATTCGCAAACGAGGATAAATGTAGATTGTCTATGGGCCACAGCAACCACTTACCATCAGGTGGACTGTGTGCTCGTTTGTCACACTATCCTATAAAAAAAATTCCATCCTCGCCTGGGGCCTTGCCGTTTTTAAGGTGCTGGAGAGCCATTCTAATCTCGCTCAGACTGACGTCCGGGATATCTTCGGAATAGTGTCGGATAAGACTCGCTCTTGGATCGTTACTCACACTTGCGTGTGGCTTCAACGATGACGTGTACAGCTGTCCATAGAACCTCTCAATCTTACTCAAAATCTCAGGAGTCCCGGAAACGATGCTGCCACACTCGGTCTTCAGTCTTGACAGTTGGCTCTTTCTGGCAAACAGATCTATGGCAAAGACTTTGGAGCCTTGGTTCCGCTCGATCGCTTCTTCAATACAAGCTGTATTGAAGTTGCGTAAGTCCCGCGACATGCATTTGGAGATCTGTCTGTTCAGATGTCTGTATGCTGTCAAATCTGTTGAAGAATGTAGCTTCATCTCCCGTCTAACAACCATGAGATTAAGTGTGTGATCGGAGAGTTTCTGTGTTCTTCTGCGACGGGTCTTGCAGAACTTAGCTCCGACCGCATGGACAGTTTCCACGAGCTTGTCATTCATATCGTCCAATTCATTGCAGTCTTCTAGGCACTGAAAACGGTTTTGTAACTCGAGCTGAAAGGTTTCGGGACTTTGGATTAGAGCACGAGGGGGACGGAGCGTTGACTTCATTAGACGAGACCTCTCCAACTTAACGTTTAGGTTCAGTGTGCCTCTAACCATTCGGTGATCGCTGCCGGTTTTCACTCTCGCGATCACTGAGACATCACTGAACAGTTGTCGTCTGGTCGTCATAATGAAGTCAATCTCATTTTTTGTCGAACCGTCGGGGCTCGACCAGGTCCACTTCCTGTGGGGCCGCTTCTGGAAGAAAGAGTTCATCATAAAGAGTCCCTCTTTCTCCATGAAGTCGGCCAGCTGCTGGCCCCTTGGGTTTCGTTGCCCTATTCCAAAATTAACGATACCCTTTTACGACACCCACGGGAAGATATGGGGTAACTCTTCACCGCTGCATTGGGAGACGTTTTCAAGCTACTGGACTGTAAAGGATACGGTATTAACATCAATGGCGAGTATATCACTCATCTTCGATTTGCCGACGATATAGTCCTTATGGCAGAATCGCTGGAGGACCTAAGCACTTTGCTCAATGACCTCAATAGTGTCTCCCAACGGATAGGTCTTAAGATGAACATGGACAAAACAAAGATCATGTTTAAAGTCCATGTCACACCTATGCCGGTAGTTGTTGGGAGCACTAAGCTCGAAGTTGTTGACGAGTATGTTAACTTGGGACAAATAGTCCGACTAGGTAAGTCCAACTTGGACCGAGAGGTCAATCGCCGGATTCAACTCGGCTGGGCAGCGTTCGGGAAACTACGACACATCTTCTCGTTAGACATACCTCAAAACCTGAAAAAGAAATTGTACAACCAGTGCGTGTTGCCAGTGATGACTTACGGATCTGAGACTTGGTCCTTCACCGCTGGCCGTATGAGGAAGCTCAAGGTCGCTCAGCGAGCTATGGAGAGGGCTATGCTCGGGGTTTCTCTGCGTGATAAACTTA